GATGTCGATTCTGGTCTTTGAGTTATGTGCGCCTCATTGTCTTTTAGTTGGTACCCATCGGTTCGGCGAAGACGATTCACTTTCCTTAAACGCTGGTAACCACCTATCAAAACACCTACACGGTGTAATAGCCCAGAAGACCTTAAGTGAGAAAGGATTTCAGTCTGTGATACGTTTCTCCATGGTGAAAGTGGTCCCTTAAAAGTTGAGAGTTAAATAGGCGGTTATAAAAACCTTCATTTCTTTAATCCGAATTTCGGTACTTTGTTCTCAGAAGATAACATTTATATCCATGTCCTAAGCCAAATTAATTTATTTAAAGTTATTTTATCTGTTACTATTGTTGTAAAGTGAGTTTTATCCTTTAGTATATGATTATTTTTCCCGTACAATCATTGTGTTTTTATCATATGCCTGCTAAGTGGCATGCTTGTTCTCATTTCGTGTAAACTTAATTAAAAATATTTGCTCTGTACTCAAATAAATTAAACTTAAGGTGTTATAGTCCGGTACAGGTAATTTGGTAAGCGTGTTGTTCGAATATTGAAATCGTGGAGTCGATGATGGGTTAGACATGTGGCTGGGAGGGGGGACAAAAATAACACATACGGAATTTTTGTGGGAAATCTGTTAGAGAATGATGAAAAGGGACATTTATGTTATCCTTTCATTTCTTAGGCCAGACCCCAGGCTGCTCCCAGGTCAGACCATGTGATATTTTTTGTTGGAAAAATAGAAACTGGAATAGGATTTTATTTTATCTATCGTCCCATCGTTGCTTCGTATTCACTTGTGTTCATGGGCAGTGGTCCCGTTAGCCGTCGCAGATCATCACCCCATCGTAACAATAAATGAAAAATGGATCATAGAGAAATTAGTTGTGAGTGAGGGTGGTAGTTGAATCGAGCTGGCTTAGGCCATTGTGTCCAGTGGCAGGCTACCGGCAGTACGGCCAGCTGGTTAACAACAAAAATAATTCAGTTCATTTATTCATGATCTTGACGACAGCCAGTTGCAAACAAGCACTAAAAACAACAGAGTAAGATAAAATAATATTATAAAATCTACATATGAACAGAAACGCGGTACACATGTGCGATCTATATAGAATAATGTTACTAAAAATTTATAATTGAATACTTGTAGATTAATATTAATTAAAATAGTGAAAGTATTGATGTTTTTCTGGTAAATGAATAAAAATTAGTCAATTAGTGCCTGAAATGAGTCAGTAAACGGGAAAACTGACGCACGTACCTTGTTATCTGTTCTTTAAGGCCCGAATAAGAGTTTTCTCTCCCAATTTCTGTGTTGATAAATGTTCTCTGGTGGTTTGGAGGTGAAGCCACTTTAAGCCATCGGTCCGTATGGAAGATGCATAGCGCAAAAGAAATATGGTTCTCTGCAGGCCTCTTTTGCTGGGTAATACGACGTTAACCGTTAAAGCATGAAAACTTCGACTAGATTCAGTGTAGGGCTTCGGGAGAACTTTATTTATGCGCCGCATATTAAGTCAGCTGTCGTTTCGTAAATACAAGTTTCTAAGACAGAAATTATCCATTATCATCTGTTTCAGTACATTCAAGTTTCGCAGCTCACGGAAGCAGAACTGATTATTGCAGCTGTGTATATGCAGCATTTGAGTAAACGAAGAAGTTTGCATTGGGAAGTGCAAGTAACCAGTAAAACGTTATTAGAACTGCAGTTACCGTACACCGTATTTTATTCCGTGTAGGCCATATTAAAATTTCACGGATCGCATCCGATCATTAATTCTTAATTTCAGGCGAATGTATAAACGCTGACGTATTTTACTGTCTTGTATCTTCACCATCGTCAGTTGGCCCCATCCCAAATCTTTGTTATATTTAACGCGACCAACTTTCCTCTGGTATTTACTGTTTCTCTTTGCATCCCTACAATACTCGGTGTTTGATTAGGTATTCGATAATTATTAAAAGTATTTCTTATTTTTGTGCATTTAACGACGCATTTTAAAGATCCTGGTTTATATAAACGAACGCCAGAGGTGCACTGTGGGTAGAATAGTCACATTTCCTGTCTCGAAATTTGAATTCTTTGTGGCTCGTAGAGTCTGGTATAGTATTGAATTTAGATGTTCAGTTTTCTGCGGTCTTAATTTTCTCTTATATCCTCTTTGTCTTTTTCGTAGACATCAGACAAGTAGCTTGAGCGTAAGTCTGGTAGAAATTGACCGAATTTCAGAGGTGCTTACTGGCTCCATTATCTCCCTGGTGATGGAGACAGTAGGCACCTCTGAAACGTCTGTAAGCTTCTGCCAGACTACACGACTCAACAGCCTAGAAGACAGCCATTTTCATGTCGAAAATCCGTTTAGGCCTTCCTGGAAATGTTAATATATACTGAGTGTATTTATTACGTGAGCACAAGCTAATGGCGTCCATTTTTCTGCTATCAGCAAATGCACGACCCGAAAAATGTTCCCGGTCTATCACATTGGTCCCGATTACAGTATCGCAGTTGATGTTGCGTCGAAAAATAAGTGAACCGCCCAGTTCATATTTAAAAGGGGCTTCAGCATTTGCGATAGCTGCTTTCAGAACTCTGATGTTACTACCTGTGTACTTCGTTATTATGAGTTCGTTGCTTAAAGTATATGAAATAAATGCATAATGGGGAATTCGTAGCCCCCCCCCCCCCTCTAACAATGGCATATTTCACCTCCGAAACCACTTTATTTGAGCTGGATGTCTCTACTTAACTTGGTCGCGCGAATATATTTCAAACGAAACTTGTTAATGTACTTAAATGTGGCTTATGTTACAAAAATTGGTACGTTACGTGAAATATGGGTCTAATTATGATCTTCAGAATTTACTTGAAACAGTCGATTTTGAAAATATAAAACTGAATGCAAAGACAAACAATTTTTACTTATGGGTTACATTGTGTTATCTGTCGTGCTATTAGCTTTGCAACAGTGGGTGCCTATCTTCAGTTATAGACTTGGCTTCTTCACTTCACGGTACGGGCAGTCAAGCCTAAATATCCATTCGTGAACATTTAGGTTCTATACTTCGCAGGAAGAAATCGGTTGGAAATTTTCGTACTGTGCTAGATTTGTGTGTGGCGTAAATGAGC